AGACAGACAGACAGACAGACAGACAGACAGACAGACAGATAGATAGATAGATAGATAGATAGATGTTTAGATGCACCCTAAAATGTTTGGGGGATGAGAAACCTAAGCTTGGTGTCAGATTTAATATAAACATTTCAGATATTCATAACCTCGCTCTGTTAACATCTTGAATCCATTGCTCTGTCTAAAAGTGCTTTCACAGAATGTCCTGAATCTTTCCTTGGGGAAATCTTTATTTTCTTGCTATTTTCATAGGCAAATCTCCGAGCAAAAGAATATATACAGCAATTCTCTTATGCCAACAGGGCCTTCCATTCTTCACTAACTTCTGTATTCTTCATGCAAATCCCAACTGAAGATCAGTTTCACTATATGAATTGATAGGAGATAGCTTTTGCTTTCTTTCTTATGCTTTCTGAATATCAGAAATTCAATGTTCCTGACACCAATTAATTCTTGTCCTTACTTGACACTGTTGTGTGAGACAGGGTTTATTTGGAGTCTGCCATGACACTGAGCTGTTATATGAACTTCCTTCAAAACTGCAACCTAAGGGTAAAACACAAATAAATAGAACAGTTAGCAATCTACACATCTACTAAAAACATTCCTTCAGGAGCTGTTCAGTTTCTAAAGATCTAATTGCAAAGCTATTTATGAAGCATCAGTTATTAAAGGCATGATCTGCATTCTTAAAAAAAAAAAAACCAGAGAAAGCTGCTAATTCTCACAGGTCAGACGATATATTTGAAAATATGCCAACAGGCAATCATCTATCTGTAATGCAACACAAAAGGCAGGGATCACTGAAATAAATAGAGATTATGCACTTAGGATAAACTTACACAGAAAGAATGATTGACTGATGTCCAACATAGGCAGACGGACAGAAGGATTGACAGACAAGGGAATTGGCAGGGGGTTAAAAAAAAGTCAAAATGGCAACTGCAACATAGAAGCCCCACTTCTTTTTTATGTGTGTTTCACATCAACAAGAGGTGGGGATTCAATTGTGCAGTTATGGTCACTATCTTGGCTTCTGACCCCCTCTACAGACACCCAGACCCATAGATTAACCTTTATTACAGTCACATGCTAACATACAAGACAGAAACTAAATGGCAATCATGAAATTTTCAGTAAGACCTATTATGTGCAGGCAACTTTAATTTCTGGCATAAAGACAATCATATTCTATTTGGTCAGAAGTTGACACCTACTCTTATAGAAGAAGTGGCAAATCTTAGAAACTTGGAACATGTTGATTAAGTTCCTGTTGTCTAGAAGATTCATAACATCAGGACACCCAGGAATATTCCAAATCAGAAGCAACACTAGGCTGTTAGGGTTATCCATATAAAAGTAAACTGAAGCAGGATGTGCTGCAGCATTTTAGTAGCATCTGAGCCACAAGAGCAAGTTGTCTCACTGTAGCAGATGTTCATGAATCTGCCTTCTAATACCACTGAAGGAACACTATTAAAGTGAGCAAACATAAATTTCCTGCAAATCTTCCTGATAATGCCTGTTTTCTGGATATTAGATAATGAGATTTTTCAGCTCATCTATATTGTTATTAGCAGCCATTAATTGATGAAAAATTGAAATTACTGAGTTATTAGTAAACAATGTTTATCAATCAGATCCAGATCTGAGTCCAGGCAGAGGATATTGTCTTCTCCAGCCCTTATTTCCTCTAATTGTTTTCTGTTTCCCAAGGAGGATAATTCTTCATTTTCCCAGTCTAGCAGAGCATACTTACTAGGACATAAGAAGGTATGTAACTCATTTGTCAATTCTTTATGAAACAGCATATCTTTTATATAGTGCATTGTGTCTGTGGCTCAGAACTCTTTCAGCACACTTCTTTGACTTATTCTTGCTCTTAGTCTTTACTTCGTTGTAATTCTCATGTCATTATTTGTATTCCCTATCTTCATTCTGATACACTGATTCTTTCCTAAGTATCAGTAATAAAAATAGGTATTGCCATAAAAATGTCCTAAAATCAGACAGGTATGTCAGTCACAACCACAACCACCACAATCAAGTTGAAAGCATCTTGAAAACAATGCAATTATCATGGACTGATGTAAAACAAGCCTTGTTAGATTAAGCTCAATTCATGTTTCAATCAAGCAACTTTTTGATGGCAATACCTGTTTATCTTTGTTATACAGACAATATCCTCTGCCTGGAATCAGAGCTAAATCTGATGGTTACTAAGAACTCAAGCAATAATTTCAGTATTTGATCAATTAATGGATGCTAATGAAAAAGTAGATGAGCTGAAAGTCCTTGAGAAATATGTGATGAGTTTACAAGAAGCAGTAGTTGAGAATAAATTAAAGGAAGATAAACTAAAGGAGAATCAGAATAAGAACAATAACAAGCACAATGACCCATGCTAGGGAAATTTAATTGATAAGAAGGGTGAAAGGGAAAGCATAGTAAATCTGTAGTAAGATACCGTATTGCAAAAGTTCTGCCCCTCAGCTCCTCTCTACCTTAAAATGGACATTTCCAATTCCAGAAATAAGTACACAAGTACCTGAATAGAGTGCTAATTCCCCGTGTTGAGTATACACATAGTGTTATCTTACAGATTGCTGACAGTGAAATAAACAAGGGCACTGGACACAAGAGAGCTCCAATAATTTTTTTAATGTTCCATTTTGCCATCAAGGATTCCTAGAATCAGGGGTTTTGCAGAGATTTCAAACTGTCCTTGTTTTATGAGCCCCAATTATTCAGGGGATTGAAGACTTGATGTTACATTTACAGTCATTCACAGAGGCAGATTATGCATGGACAATCATGTATGAACTTCATATACATGCATACATATACAGATTCCACTGGAGTTGGGTGGCCAATAATAAATAAATAAATAAATAAATAAATAAATATGGCTTCAAACACTTTTTCTTGTTGTTTTTAATTTTTCCTTTCATTTTCCTTTTTCTTCTTTTTCAACTGCTTGTTTTTCTTTTCCCCTTTCTATTATGCTTCATTAAATAAAGTAAAAAATATTATAAATATATTACATACACATGCACACTACTCATCCATCCATGTGTCAGCATCCCTCTATAGCATGGACTGATCTCAAATGTGTTAAAGCATCAACAAAAATCTTATTGCCAGTGATAATGCATTAAAAATGAACAGAAGACTAATGTTTCCACAGGACCTTTTAAAGGAAAAACACTTTTTCAGCCAACTGCTTCAACATACAGTACAAAGCTATGAAAGACAGCTGAGCATGCCTTGTCCACACAGAAGAAAATAAACTCTACTTTACCATATGACTATGGACCATCCTGACAATGACCATCAGAGGCCTGGGAAAAGCTTTGCAGGGATGAGGTAGTGACTCATGAACGCCCTGGGCAGGATTTAAGCAACTTGCCTCGCTGGCTGCCTGTTTTGACAGCAGAGATCAAGAATTTGATTTCCCAACTGAGACCTGGGGAGATTCTGGAAATGATCTAATCCTACCTGAGCTGATTAAAAAAATAACATTACATGGTGGCCTCCAATCTTAGCCTCCATCTATATAGCTAAGTATTGCTATAATCCCCAAATAAAAGGGAAAATCCTGTAAATGACAGGCCCAGCAGCTTGGTAAGTTACAGTCAGTAAGTTCTGTGTTGGGCACTAACACTGGAAATTGAGGGACTGACTGGAGCAAAAAATGTATTTTAAGTAAGAACAAGTTGATTTCAGGCTTGATCAATCCACTATTGACCAGTGCCTCGTACTCCAACACTTGATCCAGAAGCATTGTAAAAGAACAATGGTATCCTTATACGCAGCTTTTATGGTTTTAAAATCAGCATTTGACTTTACCTCTGAGTAAAACTGTGACAGAAGGTACCATAGTTGATTGACACTGAATACTACTTATTCATACAATAAAGGCTGATTCATCTCTGAAAATCAGATGCAATCTTCTAGAGCACTCACCAAATACAGTCCAAACTTATAAAGGTCTGAGACAAGACCGGATCCTTTCCCATTTCAAGTTTTATATAAATGACATGATGAATTATTTAAATAATTTGGTTTTGGTCTTTCATAATTCTTGTTTGAAATGGCCCATAACGTTTATGTAACCCAGACTGTCTGAAAGATGCCAGTGCCATTTTGAAGTTTTCAGGACTAAAGGAGGTTATTATGTATCTGGGACCCATAAGCTCTTTGAATCTAAGTCAATTTCTTCACGGAGCTCAGATGAGCCCTTTTTCTGATTTTGCCCCTCTGGAGGGTGCATAGTTAAGTTCTGAAGAGCTATTTTTCAGCTATCTTGTGTTTCAAATGCTGGACTATAATTGAAGACAAGCATGGTGAAAATGGATGCCAGAGTTTGGTTGTTCATGGTTAAGTTACTGGTTAGGGTTACCCCCCTCTCCAGCTGAACTAGTTTCACCAACATTAGCTGATGAATATCAAACTCTATGGAGAAGAAACGTATTAAAAAAATTATTATCATCTGTGTTATCTTCATGTCACCTACTCTCAAGGCTAAAATACATATGAAGGGAGCAGTAATCAAACCTTGCCACAATTCAAAATTTCCCTATTAGTGAAAATGAAGATATATAGTAGCACCTGAGGATACTTTATGCACACAGAGGTCCCTAAACATAGGAGGGACTTTATTTTTCCCTGTTGCAGTATTCTCCCTTCAACTGTACTGAGGGAAGATACAGGAGGATCTCCTCTATGGATTGCCTGTATCCATGAGATAATGGACAAGTTAAAATTATTGAACATGATGCTCTCTATTGTATGTTCTATAGAGACCTTTGTAACATGCTTATCCACTCATTATTTTTAAGACTGTCAGTCCATACAAAGTATTTAATAGCTGTTTGCCAATTTTACATCTCTTCTTGGATTATATTTATCTTCTGTTTATTCAGGACCATTTTATATTGTATTTTTAATTGATTTTAACTTCTTTGTAAACTGCCCAGAGTTGTTTTTTAATGAGATGGGCAGTGACAAATTTGATAAATAAATAAATACATGTATTTCTCATAGTCATATTAGTATATAGTCAATGGATGTCAATAACTTTATGAATCAACCTTCTTTCTGATTTTGTTCACTGTGGCTTAATGGGCCTCAGCATGGCTATTCTCACTGATTTATGTAGTGTACAAGTATACTGTATAAAAAAGTTCTTATTTCTAAATTTCCATACCCCAAAGGATTCAGTTTAAAGGTCTCCCGGGCAAGTGTGAAGTTTTGACCAAACATCATCTTTTCTATCCTTAT